GGGCCCGCCGCGCCCGCCGCCACCGCCGCCATCTTGGGGCCGCCGACAACACCGCCGCGAGGCGTGGGGCACGACGGGAGTTGGAGTCTCACCACCTCAGGAGCGGAGGGGAGCTGGGAGTTGTAGTTCGCTCTTTCGCACCTATAGGATGCGGAGCAAACCGAGGAAAGACCTTAGCGGCGGAGCCGCCAGAGCGGGGTGGTTCGGCCGTCCCGCGAGCTGGGCTCGGTGCGGCGGGAGGAGCGGAGAGACCGGCGGGATGGCCCCCCTGAGAAACTACATCTCCCAGGGGGACTTGCGGCGGCGCGGCCCCGGCGCGGCGCGCCCGGCGCGGGGCATGCTGGGACGGGGGCTCCAAAATGGACAACCACAGGGATGCGCCAGGTACGGCCCGGGCTGGGCGGCTCCGGCCGCTCCCGGCTCTGCCCCGGTCCTCTCGGAACTCTGCTCCGCTCCTCCCGCCTCGCTGCCATCCCCCAGCTCGGCCCCAGCGTTCCCGGAGCTCCGGGACCCGAGGGTGCGGGTGTGCCGGCAGAGTCGGGGGCTGAGGGAGGTTCCCCGTTAAATTCCCCCCTTTTTTCCCGCAGCGGAGCCCAGCCGGGAGTTCGGGATGGATCCCCGCGTTCGTTCCCGGATCGTTTTCCCGTAGGGAAGCCGGGCTGGTGTTTCGGGATGGTTCCTCTGCTAATTTCCTTCCCTTTTCCCATAGAAAAACCGAGTCGGGGGTCCGGGAGGATCTCCCCGTTATTTTTCCTCCGTTTTTCCCACAGAGAAGCAGAGTCGGTAGCTCGGGGACGCTCCGCTGTTTATTTTTCGTCTTTTTTTTTTCCCACAGGAAGACCAACTGTTCATTGCCTGTCTCTTTTCCCGTAGGAAACCTGAGCTGATGGTCCGTGGAGACCCCACTGTTGATTTTGGTTTTTTCTCCTTTTTTTTTTCCATAGGGAAGCTGATTTCGGGATGATCCCACAGTTTATTCCTTCCCTTTTCCCACAGGGAGAACGAGCCTTGTTTCGGGGTGATCCCCGTGTTAATCTCCCCTCTTTTACCGTAGGAAATACGAGCCTTGATTTGGGATGGTTTCCCCGTTAATTTTCCCCCTTTTCCCACAGGAAACGCGACCCTTGATTCAGGATGATTCCTGTTAAATCCCACCCTTTTCCTTCAGGAAGGGTGGCCCTTGATTGGGGATGGTCCCTGTTCATTCCCTCACTTTTTCCACAGGGAAGATTAGCCTTGGCTTGGGATCCATTAATTCTCTCCTTTTCCCACAGGAAAGATGAATTTGCAGTGGTCCTTACTCTAATCCTGCTTTTTTTCCCTCAGGGAAGCTGAATTCGGGATGATCCTCACTCTAATCCTGCTTTTTTGCCCTCAGGGAAGCTGAATTTGGGATGGTCCCTACTCTTATCCCACCTTTTTCCCTCAGGGAATGTGAGCCTTCATTTGGGATGGTCCCTATTAAATCCTACTCTTTTCCCACAGGAAATGCGCACCTAGATTTGGGATGATCCGTGTTAAATCCCACCTTTTTCCCTCAGGGAAAGCGGCCCTTGAATTAGGATGATTCCTTTAATTACCTCCCTTTTCCCCTCAGGGAATGCCCCCTTGGATTCCCGACAATTAATTTCCGTACTAATTCCCGCCCTTTTCCCTCAGGGGGAAGGCGACCCTTGAATTTAGGATGATTCCTGTTAATTCCCCCCACCTTTTCCCTCAGGGAATGTGCACCTGGGTTTGGGATGATCAGTGTTAAATCCCACCTTTTTTCCTTAGGGAATGTGCCCCTAGATTCCGGATGGTTCCCATCCTAGTTCCCGCCCTTTTCCCTCAGGGAAGGTGGCCCTTGAATTAGGATGATTCCTTTAATTCCCCCCCTTTTCCCTCAGGGAATGCACACCTAGATTTGGGATGATCCGTGTTAAATCCTGCCTTTTCCCCTCAGGGAACGCGCCCCTGGATTCCGGATGATTCCCATGCTAATTCCCGCCTTTTCCCTCAGGGAATGCATCCCTGGATTCCAGACAATTCCCATGCTGATTCCCTCCTTTTCCCTCAGGGAAGGCGAGCCGGTGGTTCGGAGTGTCCCAATCCAAGTCGGCCAAGACCAGCGTGAACATCCTGCAGCAGGAGGAGCTGATCGCCCAGAAAAAACGGGAAATCGAGGCCCGGCTGGAGCAGCAGGCGCGGCAGAATTCCCTCAGCATCCCGCAGCTCCCGCTGCTCGGAGAGTACGCGGGAATTCCGGGATTCCGGCCGCCAGCAAACGGCAGGGAGTGGGAAGCAGGGTTGTGGGTGGAAAATCCCGGTTTTGGTGGAGCAGAGGGAGGAAAATCTCAATTTTAATGGAGCAAGGAAGGAAAATCACAATTTTAGTAGAAAATCCCAATTTTAGTGGATTAGGGAGCAAATATCCCGATTTTAATGGAGCAGAAGGAGGAATGTCACAGTTTTGGTGGATTAGGGAGCAAAAATCATGATTTTAACGCAGCAGAAGGAGGAAAATCCTGGTTTTGGTGGGTTAGGGAGCAAAAATCCCAATTTTAACAAAGCAGAGTAGGAAAATCCCAGCTTTAACAGAGCAGGGGTTAGTTTTAGTGGAGCACTAGTTTTGGTGGAGCAGAGGGAGGAAAATCCCAATTTTAATGAAGAAGGAAGGAGATTCAGAGTTCTTTTGGGAATTCAGTGGTAGGTGAGGAAAACTAACAATTCCAGGGGTTTTCCCTGTCCTATATCCCACATGGGAAGGACTGGGAAGTTCCCAGTTTCCAGCTCCTGTTTTTCTGTCCCCGCTCAGCGACGATGGCTCCGAGAGCGAGGCCTCAGTGTCCAACAAGTTTGTGAACGATGGGAGCTTTCTGCAGCAATTCCTGAAGCTCCAGAGGGAAAAATCCAATGCTGGTAGGTCCTTCCTTTCCCATCCCAAACCTGGGATTCCCAGGAAATCTGTCCCCTTCATTTTACCCTCAGAAACTGCCCCAAATCCCCCCAAGAATTCTAGGAATTACCTAGCCCAAACCCCAAGCTTCCCAGGGATAATTTCCTTTTGTTTTCCCCTCAGAAACTGCCCCAAATCCCCACAAGAATTCCAGGAATGCCCCAGCCCCAAACCCTGGAAAGAATCCGGCACTGCTGGGGAAGTGGCCGGGCCAGGTCTGGAGCCTTTCCCACATGAAATTTGGGATTCCAGGATAAATTTCTCTTCATTTTCTCCACAGAAACTGCCCCAAATCACCCCAACAACTCCAGGAATGCCCCAGCAACAATTCCCGGGAAGAAGCAGCCGGAGCAGGCTCTGAGCTGGATCCTCCAGGCCTGGAGCCTTTCCCATCCCAAACCCAAAATTCCCAGGAATAATTTCCCCTTATTTTCCCCTCAGAAATGCTTCCAAATCCCCCCAACAATTCTGGGAATGCCCCAGCTCCAAACCTCAGGAAGAAGCAGCTGGAGCTGGCCCTGAGCTGGATCCTCCAGGCCTGGAGCCTTCCTCACACCAAACCCGGGATTCCCAGGAATAATTTCCCTTCATTTTCTCCACAGAAACTCCTCCAAATGCCCCCAACAACTCCAGGAATGCCCCAACCCAAACCCAAAATTCCCAGGAATAATTTCCCCTTTATTTTCCCCTCAGAAACTCCTCCAAATCCCCCCAGCAATTCTGGGAATGCCCCAGCCCCAATTCCCGGGAAGAAGCAGCCGGAGCAGGCCCTGAGCCGGATGCTTTCAGGCCTGGAGTCTCTCCCACACTAAACTTGGGATTCCCAGGAATAATTTCCCCTTTCTTTTCCCCTCAGAAACTCCTCCAAATCCCCCCAACAGCTCTGGGAATGCCCCAGCTCCAAACCCCGGGAAGAAGCCGGCGCTGCTGGGGAAGCGGCCGGGCCAGGCCCTGAGCCGGATGCTCCAGGCCCGGAGCCTCTCCCATCCCAAACCCAGCCCCGTCCTGAGCCGCCTCAGCGTCTTCCAGGGCCCAGATGAGGATGAGGAAGAGGATTACGAGCAGTGGTTGGAAATCAAAGGTCAGTGGCAGCTCCTGCTCTGAGGCTGGAGCTGGGAATGCCCATCCCAGGATAGGGGATCAGCGAGGACAGGATTCCCTGAGTTCCAGTGGAAAATGGGATGGGTTTTTATCCTGGGATGGGGGATCAGTGAGGACAGGATTCCCTGAGTTCCTGTGGGAATTTGGGGTGGGTTTTATTCAGGATAAGGGAACAGAGAAGGCCAGGATTCCCTCCTGGGACAGGGGATCAGTTTGGGACAGGATTCCCTGAGTTCCAGTGGGAATTTGGGGTGGGTTTTATTCCAGGATATGGGATCAGGGAGGGCCAGGATTCCAGGAATCAGTTTGGGACAGGATTCCCTCAATCCCCACTGAAGAATTGGGTGGTTTTTTATCCTGGGATAGGGGTTCAGGTGGTGGCACAGGGATCAGTTTGGGATAAGATTCCCTCAGTGGGAATTTGGGTGGATTTATCCTGGGATAGGGACCAGAGAGGGCCAGGATTCCTTCCCAGGATATGGCTCAGCTTGGGACAGGATTTGGGATGGTTTTATTCCAGGATAAGGAATCCATTTGGGACAGGATTTGGGATGGTTTTATTCCAGGATAAGGGATCAGCTTGGGACAGGATTCCCTCGGTTCCAGTGGAAAGCTGCTTATTTTATCCCAATTTTCCATAAATTTCTCTTCCCAGCAGAGTTTTGGGGCAGATTTCTCCTTTCTGGAGTAGAAATTCCAGTAGTTAACACTGGTGGCCTCCTCCAAATCCAACCAAAATATGAGAAATTAAATTCCTGACATTTTAGCCATGAGATTCAATTTTAAATATGAAATTCCTGATATTTCAGATATTCCTGATCTTCCTTGAGCTCAATATTTAAATTTTCTTGACCTCAGGCTGGAAGGATTTCTCCAAATTATCCAAGTGCTTGGCCAGCCAAAAATTTGGGAAAATAACGGCAAGGGAGGAAAATGTTTTGTTTTAATGGATTTGGTGGGTGGCAAATCCTAAAAGTTCCAATTTGCACCTTGCTGTGCTCGCTAGGAAATCCTAATTCTTGTCCTTAAAATGGGATTTTAGGGGGTTTAAATGCTGGAATTCGTTTGGGAGCGTGCAGGGAAAAATCTGTTTGCTAATAAACGAAATTAAAATTCAAAAGCACGCAATTGTCCCCAGGTAAAATCCAAAATCCAGGTAAGGAAATCTCACCTGTAGGCCCCGAGTGCTTGGAAAAACAAGGATGTGGCAGGAATTATCCCGGATTTTATTGGGATAACCCAGGCCAGGAAGGCCCGAGGCAGATTTGCCTCCGGAAATGGGAATTTCACGGGTGGGTTTGAAGGGATAAAAGGAGCTCAGCGAGTCACGCTCGGCTTTGTGGCCTCGTTTATCCATTCCCAAAATCCCATGGAAGCCTTTTCTGCTGGGATTTGTAGCTGCGTAATCCTGGGAATTCGGGATTGGAGCGTGAAAGGCGCTCGGAAAAACCGGGAAAACGCGGAGAGCTGAGGTGGGTTCTCCTTCCTTTCAGGAATTTGGGGCTGCTGATCCCGTTGGATCTGCTCTGTGCTTCCCAAAATTCCCCAAATCCCGTGGGAATTCCTGGGCACAGAAGCCAAACTCCTCCAGGGTTTTGGGGTTTTTTTTTTTGGGAGCAGGGAAAGCTGCTGCTCCAGCCCCACAGCGTGGAATGTTCTGGGAATGAGCTGGGAATGGTTTGGCAGCTGGAATCTGGATTAAAAACCAGCTCCTGCTCCTTCCCTGCTGGGATTTGGAGGGAATAAATCCAGCAGGGGCCAAATCTGCCACGATTAAAGCTGGGATGAGCTGGGAGCAACTGGAACTCCCAAACCGGGATGGGATGGAGCATTCCCAATCCCTGGAAGTGCCCAGGTGGGAGAAAGGAAATTCCAGGGAAACCTTGGAGCTGCTTCCTGTCCCTAAAGGGGCTCCGGGAGAGCTGGAGAGGGATTTGGGATAAGGGATGGAATCCCAGGACACAGGGAATGGGTTCAAACTGGGAAAGGGAATTTGGGGAGGAATTCCTGGCTGGGAGGGAATGGGCTGGAATTCCCAGGGAAGCTCCGTCCCTGGAAGTGCCCAAGAAAAGTGGGAAAAGAGAAGCTCCAGGGAAACCTTAGAGCCTAAAGGGGCTCTGGGAGAGCTGGAGAAGGATTTGGGATAAGGGATGGAATGCCATGACACAGAGAAAGGGAATTTGGGAAGGAATTCCTGGCTGGGAGGGTGGGAAGCGAATAGGCTGAAATTCCCAGAGAAGCTGGAAGCGCCCAAGCAAAGATCGGGATAAGCAAAAAAAACACCACAATGAGCTGAAAACTCCCCAAAACCTTGGAGATTCCCCTGTAGGAACCCTTAGCAAACAGCTCAGGAACCCCTCAAAAACCCCAAAATTCCAACACAAACACCTTTCAACAACTTCCCGCCCCGTCTCATCCTTTCTCTCCCCATATTCCCGCGTGCCTGCTCCGTGGTTTTCGGCAGTAATTCCCTGTTTCCCGTTTGGGGGCAGTTGAACCCCAAGTACTGACAGCATCCTTAAAGTTTTGCCCCCAGAGGACTCGGAGACGCGGCAGGTGGTGGAAAAGCTGGCCAGGTTCGTGGCTGAGGGCGGCCCCCAGCTCGAGAAGGTGGCCATGGAGGACTACAAGGATAATCCCGCTTTTTCGTACGTTCCGGAGCGGCTCCCGGCCGGGAAAACGGCGCCTCCGAGGAGGGGGGAGATGGGGTGGGGATGGGGAGCGTTCCTGGGGTGGGGGAAAGGGTTGGGGTCCCCAAGGGGGAAAGTGTGGGGTCCTTGTTATTCCCTGAGGGAGAAAAGTTTGGATTTGAGGTGGAAAAGTTTGGGGTTCTCATTCTACCCCAAGGGGGAAAGTTTGGATTGGAGGGGGAGGAAAAGTTTGAGGTTATTGTTCTTCCCTGAGGGGGAAAGTTTGGATTTGAGGCAGAAAAGTTTGGGGTTCTTGTTCTTCCCTGAGGGGGAAAGTTTGGGTTTGAGGCAGAAAAGTCTGGGGTTCTTGTTCTTCCCTGAGGGGGAAAGTTTGGGTTTGAGGCAGAAAAGTCTGGGGTCCTGGTTCTTCCCTGAGGGGGAAAGTTTGGGGTTCTCATTCTTCCCTGAAGGGGAAAGTTTAGGTTTGAGGGGGGGGAAAAGTTTGGGGTTCTTGTTCTTCCCTGAGAGGGAAAGTTTGGGGTTCTCGTTCTTCCCTGAGGTGAAAAAGTTTGGATTTCAGGTGGAAAAGTTTGGGGTTCTTGTTCTTCCCTGAGGGGGAAAGTTTGGATTTGAGGAGAAAAAAGATTGGATTTGAAGGAGGGAAAAGTTTGGGTTTGAGGGGGAAATGTTTGGGGCTCTTATTCTTCCCCGAGGGGGAAAGTGTGGGGTTCTTGTTATTCCCTGAGGGAGAAAAGTTTGGATTTGAGGTGAAAAAGTTTGGATTTCAGGTGGTAAAGTTTGGGGTTCTTGTTCTTCCCTGAGAGGGAAAGTTTGGGGTTCTCATTCTTCCCTGAGGGGGAAAGTTTGGGTTGGAGGGGGGGGAAAAGTTTGGGGTCCTTGTTCTTCCCTGCGAGGGAAAGTTTGGGGTTCTCATTCTTCCCTGAGGGGGAAAGTTTGGGTTGGAGGGGGGGGAAAAGTTTGGGGTCCTTGTTCTTCCCTGCGAGGGAAAGTTTGGGGTTCTCATTCTTCCCTGAGGGGGAAAGTTTGGGTTGGAGGGGGGGGAAAAGTTTGGGGTCCTTGTTCTTCCCTGCGAGGGAAAGTTTGGGGTTCTCATTCTTCCCTGAGGGGGAAAGTTTGGGTTGGAGGGGGGGGAAAAGTTTGGGGTCCTTGTTCTTCCCTGCGAGGGAAAGTTTGGGGTTCTCATTCTTCCCTGAGGGGGAAAGTTTGGGTTGGAGGGGGGGGAAAAGTTTGGGGTCCTTGTTCTTCCCTGCGAGGGAAAGTTTGGGGTTCTCATTCTTCCCTGAGGGGGAAAGTTTGGGTTGGAGGGGGGGGAAAAGTTTGGGGTCCTTGTTCTTCCCTGCGAGGGAAAGTTTGGGGTTCTCATTCTTCCCTGAGGGGGAAAGTTTGGGTTTGAGGGGGAAATGTTTGGGGTTCTTATTCTTCCCCAAGGGGGAAAGTTTGGATTGGAGGGGGAGGAAAAGTTTGGGGTTCTGGTTCTCCTCCGAGGGGGAAAGTTTGGGGTTCTGGTTCTCCTCCGAGGGGGAAAGTTTGGGGTTCTGGTTCTCCTCCGAGGGGGAAAGTTTGGGGTTCTGGTTCTCCTCCGAGGGGGAAAGTTTGGGGGTCTTGTTCTTCCCTGATGGGGGGCAAGGTTTAGGTTTGAGGGGGAGGACAAGGTTGGGGTTCTTGTTCTTCCCTGAGGGGGAAAAGTTTGGGGTTCTGGTTCTCCTCCGAGGGGGAAAGTTTGGGGTTCTTGTTCTTCCCTGATGGGGGGAAAGGTTTAGGTTTGAGGGGGAGGAAAAGTTTGGGGTTCTTGTTCTTCCCCAAGGCGGAAAGTTTGGGTTTGAGGTGGAAAAGTTTGGGATTGAGGCAGAAAAGTTTGGGGTTCTTGTTTGTCCCCAAGGGGGAAAGTTTGGGTTTGAGGCAGAAAAGTCTGGGGTCCTGGTTCTTCCCTGAGGGGGAAAGTTTGGGGTTCTCATTCTTCCCTGAAGGGGAAAGTTTAGGTTTGAGGGGGAGGAAAAGTTTGGGGTTCTTGTTTGTCCCCAAGGGGGAAAGTTTGGGGTTCTCATTCTTCCCTGAAGGGGAAAGTTTAGGTTTGAGGGGGAGGACAAGGTTGGGGTTCTTGTTCTTCCCCAAGGCGGAAAGTTTGGGTTTGAGGCAGAAAAGTCTGGGGTCCTGGTTCTTCCCTGAGGGGGAAAGTTTGGATTTGAGGGGAAAAAAAGATTGGATTTGAAGGAGGGAAAAGTTTGGGTTTGAGGGGGAAATGTTTGGGATTCTTGTTCTTTCCTGGGGAGCGGAAAGCTTTGGATTTGAAGGGGGAAATCTTTGGATTCGCTGTTATTTTTTTCCCTGTGAGGGTGAAAAGTCTGGATTTGAGAGGTGGAAAAGTTTTTTAATCCCAGCACTGGCGGGCATGGGGAAATTAAACAGATTCCTTTTTAATTTCCCTTCAAGCAACAAAAAATTGGTTGCAAATCCTTGAATTAAAACTCCAAAATCCAATTCCATGTTTTGTGTGGATTCTGAGTAATTCCTCCATTTGTCCATGTGGGAGCTGGAGCTGTTCCTATCCCAGAACATCCACATTTGGATAATTATTCCTCTTTCTTTCCCTCTTTTCCAGGTTTTTGCATGATAAGAACAGCAGGGAATTCCTTTACTACAGGAAGAAAGTGGCAGAAATAAGGAAAGAAAATCAAAATTCCCAGGCAGCCTCTTCCCAAAAAGGTAATTCCCACTAAAATCTGGGGAATGGGAACAGCACGAGGGAAATTTGGGATTTATTTAGGACTGGAGTGGAAATTTGGGATTGGAGTAGCCGCCCTTTTCCAGGTGAGATTTGGGATTTTCCAAAGGGAATTTCCCCCTGAAACAGCCTGCAGTGAGGGGAGGAGAAGTGAGATTCTCGGGAATTTGGAGTTTTCCAAAGGATTTCCTGTTATTCCCGAGGAATT